AACATGAGCCTCCTCAGTCTTATTTTTCAAAGCATTTTCTTTGAAAGATTACAAAGCTCCAAGCAACCAGTTAATGCATGGGGGAAGAGAGAAGACATGGTGTAACAGAGCGATAATTCCTGCAATTAGAAGTATATTAATAACTGCACTTGGTCCATGGATGGAGTACAGCAGTGTGGGGTTCTGGAAGCAGGGCCATCCTTGGGCAAAGGAGCCTCTAGTCCTGCTGTAGAGAGAGAGGGCAGCTCTCTTGTCTGCAGCTCTTCGGTTCTGGATGTGCAATGCTGGAGGCAGAATCCAGCAGCCTCGTGCAAGATTGGCAAGGTTCCTAAACAAGACAAGGCTTAATGGGGTAAAATCATGGCAAGAAAGCGTTGGGGTTAAATCATTTGCATATCAGAAATCAGTTAGGCTGGGGGTTTTGTTTGTGTCACACAGTGGATGTGATGGAAATGATTACTCATCTTTCCATCCAAGCTCTCCAGACTGGGAAAAATGAATATAAAAAGATTGATGGATCTGTCCAGACAACCCTCTGGATCTTGAGCAAGCCAGACAAGTGTCCCAGAGCCAGGGAATAAATGCTCATCTTAGTCAGACCCCTCTTGAGCTCTGACTTGGAAGTGCACAGGCTGTCTTCCCACGTGTCTTCCCAGATCCCTGTGAAACAAGGTTTTGTCAAAGCAGGCACTCAACTTCCAGCAGAAGCACATTTGATAATCAGGCTCTTGGACAATGTGGTGGTGTTCCCAGCATCACACCACCATCAAAATATGCAAAAAGCATCTCGCAGAAGTAAAAGCATTTCATTCTGGAAAAACACTTGAGAGACAGTTCATTAGCTCTTTATTTTCACCAACCTAATTGGAATTCCCAACTACTTTATTTACTTTTTCTGCTGTCATCTGAAGTTGTAAGTAAATTTTCTGATTTGTCCATACTATGAACTGTCACCTGTTGGTAGGAATCCTCTGAGAAGGGTCCTTTCTCCATCTATCATGTGTGTGTACAGATGAAGTTGATACAAGATCTTCAGGATGTCTGCAGTAAGTCATCTCATCCTAATACAGGACATCACCTGAGGCCATTTCTTACTTATTTCTATTTCAGAGCACCTCAAGACACACACTGGTTGATGAAACAACATAAAGCAAAGCTGGAGGCTGTGCCAAATAGTTCATAACCATGGAGGAAAACTTGGCAGACGAGCAGAGAAAGGAAGGGAGGAATTAATGCTAAAACATGTGTCTGAGTGGTTTTGATGTTAGCTTTCTTAGATGTTGTCAGCTGTTGTTAAGTTTTGTACACCTAACAGCAAAGATGGTATTAATGAAAACAGACACAGTATGGGAAAAGGGCATTTACTGAATTTAGAAGTTGATCCAGATGCCCTTTCACTGTTAGATTTTATTATAAAAAAAATCTACCTTTTTGATTTGGAGTCACCCAACAAAACCAGTCCTTGGCTCAGATGGATGTTTGACTTAAGTTCTGATGTTCTCTTTTTCTTCTTTTTAAACTAAAAAAACCCTTAACTTTAAAAAATGATACAGTATTTGCAGAATCAATAGAAAAGCTGACCCAGATAAAAGTGCGCAAAAATTGGTTTCATGCCCTAGAACTTTTCCTGCATGCTTTTTGATGCAATGTATCTGAACCTTCAAAAAGGAGGTAACATACAGTGATCTCAGTAGCTTTGAAGAATTGTTCTGGAAGAATAACAAGGAGTGCTGGAGAAAGGGGTGTGCACTTGTCTGCTTTTCTCCCCCTCATTAAATATATCATGAGACAGAAGAAATTTAATGTCCTATTGTTGGTTATGCAGAAGGATAAGATAAATTTTGTATGAAATCTGATTTTTTCTGATTTTTTAAAGGTGAAAGTGCATTTCTCCTGAACAGTCTTCACAGCAGGATGTGAATTGCACTTTATCTCCTTAGAGTGGCAAAGGTCTATCCAAGTAGTAGCAGGATTCTCTCTCAGAAATGTAATTACATCCTCGATCCTGAATGGAGTAGAAAGATGTAAAAAATATCTGGTGCTCCAGATGTATTCCAGTAGAATCATGGAATCATAGAATGGTTTGGGTTGGAATTATCATCTCGTCCCAACTCCCCTGCCATGGGCAGGGACAGCTCCCACTAGACCAGGCTGCTCAGAGCCTTGTCCAACCTGACCTTAAACGCTTCGCAGGATGGGGCATCCACAGCTTCTCTGAGCAACCTGTGACAGTGTCTCAACACCCTCACAGAAAAGAATTTCTTCATAATATCTAATCTAAACCTATTCTCCTTCAATCTGAACCCATTCTCCCTTGTCCTGGCACTGCATGCCCTTGTAAATATTCTTGACCCATCTTTCCTGTAAGTTCTCTTCAGGTACTAGAAGGCTGCAATTAGGTCACCCTGAAGCCTTCTCTTCTCGAGGCTGAACAATCCCAATTCTTTCATCCTTTCCTCATAGGGGAGGTGCCCTATCCTTCTAATCATCTTTGTGACATCCTCTGGACTCACTCCAACAGGTTGATGACCTTCCTGTGTCGAGGACCCCAGAGCTGGACACAGCACTGCAGGTGGGGTCTCACCAGAGCAGAGTAGAATGGCAGAATCACTCCCCTCAACCTGCTGCCCATGGGGCTTTTGATGCAACCCAGGGTGCTTGTCTTTGGGCTGCAAACACACATTGCTGGAACGTGTCTGCTGTCTCATCCAGCAGCACCCTCAGGTCTCAGCAGGGCTGAGATCTGTTCATCTCCCAGCCTGGATTGATACGGGGGATGCAGCATCTTGCACTTGGTCTTGTTAAAACTTATCAGATTCCCATGGGCCCACTTCTCAAACTAAGGCAGATCCAAACTTTAATTTTATTCCAATACGGCACTTAGATCTGAAGGAATCACATATTCAGTGAACTTCTGTTGCTTTGGTTTCCAAAAACATCCCAGGCTGTTCAGGGCTGTGTACCCAGACACAAAACAAATTAGTGTTCAATACAGACAGCAGTGCAGTGAAGGAGATAAATTGATAGGATAAATTTGTGGGACAGCAAGACTGACAGGCTGTAGGAGAGTTTCATTCCCTCCTTTTGTATTCTTGGTCTTAAAAGTTAAAGTCTAGCTGGAGGGGAAGGATGGGCCCAAAGTTACTGATTCTTAACAGAATGAGCAGATACATTGCCCAGGCTGTGTTGACTATCCCCAGGATAGGGAGAAAAGGCCACAAAAGCAACTGCTTTGTGGGGATTTCCATAACCCTTCCCAGTCCTTGGGGTCAGTCACTTTTTTTAATGCCTTGGTGTATGCAGACTTTCCTCCTTTTTCTCCATTTACTGCAGCGTGGGGAAACTGAAGAGAGAGGGCTGGGGCTGTGCAGTGGGCAGGAACATGCCCTGGGAGATGCTCCCATCAAACACGAGCTCCAGGAGTTTGCAGCGAGAAGAGCAGCTGAAGCTCAGGACCGAGCAGGAACGTATGGCAACATATAAGGGACTCTGGGCAACCTTTCCTGTGGTCTGTTTGTGGCTCTGTGATTACTTGTAGCTGACCCAGATACCTCTCACTGAACTTTCCAGATATAGGGACATGGATGTTCTTATTGAAAACAAGAGACTCGATAACACTTAACAGTGCTGGTCTTCATGAGGAAATGAAGCACAAACACAATTATTTGAGAGGAACAAAGTGATCTTTTTGCTTTATGTTTATATCCTGTGCTCATTTCGTCTCTCGCACCACTTTTGTACCAATGGCTGCTGTGTTCAGCAGGAATTTGCACATCGATGCTTACAGCCAAAAGTAGGAATGGTCTAAACCGCTGGAAAAGGGAAACCCCTTCCTCTTGTATTTATTTTTATGGCAGCAAAATGTAGTCACTGTCTGGTCTTGATCAGTCTTGGTTTTTTCCCTTTGTTTTTTTCTTTTTAGCTTGAGGGTTGAAGGAAACAAAAGAGGGAATGAATAAAGAGCAGGGGGAAAGAGTGATTGCTGCCGGGCTCTGTCATGTGGTGAGGAAATCAGGCTGAAACTGGAGAGACCAGGCCAGACCTAACAGTCATACTGGGAGGCCTTGAATTGTGTCACTCTGACAGTGATCTGAGCAGTGACAATAGTGGTGATGTTTCTGGCTGCAGTCTAGCATGATCCGAATGTGAAGTTGTGCTGATGGGTTGCTGCTCACAACACTTTTCCCACCTGCCTGCTCTTACAGGCAGCCTGGAATGATGACCCCTGTCCTTCCCGAATTGGCACATCTGTTTAGACCATGGGGACTGATGTGGGGTAGCATGTTTTTCTGTTGTGTTCACTTCAGTTCTCTCTGGTTTTTCCTATTCTTAACACTGCTGTTACTATGAGCTTGGGTATTTGGTGGGTAGTGGAAGGAGTGTGTGATTTTTAGCTTTGTCCCCAGTGTACAACTTACACCATGTATCTCCATCAAATTTGTATGACACCTGAATGGATCTGAACACAGGGACTGCAACACTACAGGCATAGGGAAGAGTGACTGGAAGGTTGCCCAGAGGAAAAGGACCTGAGGATGCTGATCAACAGTGGCTGAACATGAGTCAGTGTGTGCCCAGGTGGCCAAGAAGGCCAGTGGCATCCTGGCCTGGATCAGAAACAGTGTGGCCAGCAGGACCAGGGCAGGGATTGTCCCTCTGTACTCAGCATTGGTGAGGCCAATGACATTGAGAGGCTGGAGTGTGTCCAGAGAAGAGCAACAGAGCTGGGGAAGGGTCTGGAGCACAACTCAGGTGAGGAGCAGCAGAGGGAGCTGGGGCTGTTTAGCCTGGAGAAAAGGAAGCTCAGGGGAGACCTTATCACTCTCCACAACTCTCTGAAAGGAGGCTGGACCCAGGTGGACGTCGGGCTCTTCTCCCAGGTAACAAATGACAGGATGAGAAAAAATGGCCTCAAGTTGCACTAGGGGAGATTTAGATTGGATATTAGCGAACAGTTGTTCACAGAAAGGGTGGTCAGGCACTGACACAGGCTATCCAGTGAAGTCACCATCCCTGGAGGTATTTAAAAGACATGGAGATGTAGTGCTTAGGGAAGTGGTTTAGTGGCTGACTTGGCATAATGATTCTTTCCAACATAAATGATGCTGTGACTATATAAGGGGACATCCCATGGTGTTGAAAATTAATTAGCAGGTTTAACAGTCCACAGCTTGTTTTTTTAAAAATAAAAAGTACATATGTGGGGCAGAAAAGGTGTCCAACAACAGTGCAGCAAACACTTCTCAGTCATGGCCCTCGCACAGGACGGGTCTGACAACTGTTTTCCATCACATTTATTACTATGGGCATGTAGGTAACTAACCAGAGGGTGACAGCCTGAAATGCAAGGGTTAAGAGAAAGGACATGAAATAGTTTAACCTTACTAAAAGCCAAATAAATTAATAATGAATTTTTTTCTTAGCCAGAACCCTATAGGACATCACTCTCTCTCTGGCTGAATTTTCTTATGCGATCAAACATTCTCCTTGCTCTAAACCCTTTGCTGCCAATTTAAAATAGTACAACACTGAGATTTCTCACCCTTCAAGAAAACACTTTGATTTGTTGAAGGAAGTTAGGAACAGTTAAGGAGATGGGAAAGAAAGTAATATACCTTTCTCTGTGCTGACATCTGCAACTGGGGGATGTGTTGAAAAGTAAATATAATCTGCTTTGAGCAATGCTCTCCCATTCTCTTTCATTCTGGTTCAGTGCTCTGGTTCCCAGTGAACTAGACTTAGCATTGGAAAGTGAGGTGCAGAAAGGCTGTAGGGCTCAGTGAAGAAGTGGGTGGTCATTTCCTCATGCTGGGGCTGTGGGGTTAATGTTGTTGTGCGTTTCCAAATTTTTCAAGAGAGCATTGGGATGAGAAGTGACAGGATCACTGTCTGTCTGTCTGTCTGTCCAGTGCCAGAGACGCCAGGTCAGGACCCTTGCCAGCCCCTCTCTCACCTTGTAGCCAAGGCCAACTGTAGCTGTTGCCACTTCTTAGCAGCTTCAAGTAAAACAGTGGATGGGCACAACGTGGCCCTGAGCAGCCTGTGCCGAGGAGTTGTGCAGGAGCAGTCCCCTGGACATGGCAGCCAGGCTGCCTGGCTCAGCCATCCTCTTCCCTGGAGTATCACGCTCCTGCTTCTCCCTAGAGGAATATGAGATCAGTTTCAACCTGGCAGAGGATGTGTTTTCTGAAATCTTTTAATCTCTAAAAGAGGAGGAATAGTTTCTGGGACAGTGCTGCACAGTGAAAATGTGCCTAAAACTATGACATTTTTCCCTTTTTTTGTTCTTTTTTAAAGACACCTAATTTGTTTTTTGATCTTATTTACTCCTTATATTGCTGTTATTTTCCCTTTGCTTGTTTTTATGCTTCTTAATATTTTCAAAAGCAGCTGGTAATATCAAGAAGGCATTGCAAAGGGGGGTTTGGTCTATTCCTGTAGTTTATAGAAATTTTCCTGGAGGAAGCTAAGGCTGGAGAGCCACAGCATGGTGCAGCCTTGGATTGACTGTCTGGGACAGCTTCTGCTCACAGATCCCTGAAAATTGTGCAGCATGGATGAGGACCTTGTGCAAGTGGTTGTCACCCTAAGGAGGTGGAGTAGGTGACTCCTGGCAGGGGCCTTCTACTCTGTGTTTGCCAGTGGAGCTCAGGGGCTGCCAGCAGCAGCTGCTGTGGGGTGGAAATACCCCTCTCTCTTTAAGCTTTGTTCAAAAGGCTGGAGAAGGACAGCTGAGTGTTGAGTGGGACAGGGATAAGACCTCTGGGGATGGAGTGCTGTAGGAGATAGCCCGTGGTCTGTCCAAGCATCACCATCAGCACAGTGTCTGTGCACTTCCTCAGAGACCTCAGAGCACTCTGCAGGTTTTTAGTGGCTTTTTCACTGCAGATTTAGGGGTTTGATGTAACCTTTCAGTTGTAGGGATGGAGGCAGGGACGAGTTAATTTTAATAGCCTTATGAAAAGGTGTTGAAGGCAAGGATGCTCATGAGCACGTTAGTCCGAGGTGGTCTGCCAGGTCTGGTGAATGTTTAACCAGGACTGTACCAGCAGCCAGGAGCTGTTGGGGCTCTTGGGATCTGTTGGGATAACTGCGATTTTCAGTCTGTGGAGAACAGACGACTTTGAAGAACATTTGTATCTGCTAATCATGCTGTAATAACAGTCTGCAGTTGAGAGGCTGCAAACCCCCCATTTCCAACACAGCTGTGCATATTTAATTCCATAGAAGGCATTGCTAGTCTGCTGTTAGAAGTAATTCAGATCGCTAAGGTGGTAATTTTGATCATGATGTTTTTTAGGGAAATATAGGTGTAAGCTACACTGAAAAGTTAATAAATGCCCAGTATAATACAAACACCAGGGAGTGAGGAGCAGGGACATGATGGGTGGCTGCCAGTGCCCCACCCTGCATCCTGGGCTTGCTGTATTCCTGCCTCGCTGAGCCAGAAGCAAAGGAAAGAAACATCCTGGGCACATTAGCTTAGTGAAGGAATTTTTTCCTGACCTATTGGCCTGTACCACCAAGGTGGGGCATTGGAGAAGTCAGGGCATTTGATGGATCAGCAGGGCTGTGGGGAGAGCACCAAAGCTGGTGGAGCTGTGGAGAGTTGGCACAACCTGCTCCATGGGGATGCTTTTGGCTGATGCCAGGATTTAAACCACCAAACCAGCATCCCCAGGAAAAGAAGTCTAGAGGAGTGTGGGGTTTGTTTTCCTTTATCTCAAGCACAGCTTGGGAAAGCATGTGCTTTCAGGGCTCCCAATTCAGTTTCTCTCTGTAAAATACGCTTTTGCAAAATTGATAATTTCTGTAGGTTTAGAGAGTCTCAAAGGAACTTTTCTGTCAAGCATCTAAAAAGTACCATTATTTCTCTTCCTGTTGTAACAGCAGCTCGAGATTTACCTTTTAGTTCTCTGAAGATATCTTGACAATCTCTCTTTTTTGTAAAAAACTCCATGGTGAACAAAGCAAAATAATCCCATTTTCAGGTGGTTTGTGCTGTAGTTTGGGTTGCAGAAACCATATGGAGTGCTGGTGTTTATAAAAGTATGTAAAAGCCTTTTTGTTTATTTTGTTTTGTTTTGCCATGAGATTTTTTTTTTTTTGAAAGAATCTGGAATGATGAAGCAGCTGGTGGCTGAGTCTCCTGCTCAGTGTGCAGAGAATGAAGATTGGCTGGGATGGCTGAAGTTATTCACTGCATGCTGTGGGCCATGTAAACACACAAACAGGCAATTCCTGTCAGCCAGGAGATGTGTGGTAACTCAAAGCACCATTAACTGTTCTGTGCATGTGCTCACCATGCCACCACATGGGAGCCAGCAGATACAGATCTCCTCAGATCTTGTCCATTACTCTGTGGGTGTTGGTGTGGCACAGCTCATGTGGGTGAAATGATGATGGCTGTATGAATGCCTCCAGAGGGATGGTCTGGTCTGAATTTGCCTGATCCCAGCGTTGTGATGCATTTCAGGGAAGTGGTGTTTTCATGGCAAGGAAAGCTGCTTCTCCTGCCTTGTGCTGCCTTGGAATAAGCATGTCCCCATGGGAGGCTGCTCAAGAGCTGCCTGCAGCAGGGATGCTCAAGACAAACAAACTCAGGCAAGAGTTTTCAATAGTAATTACCTACCTGTTGAAAAAACTTGGTGTTTCTATATGAAACATGTTTGTGACTCCTTCATTTCACTGTTGCTTAACTTCAAGCATTCAAAAGCAGTAGCAAGTCTCTCAGAACTGTGAAATAGTTTGAAAGATCTGAAATATGTATGTGTGTATATATATACACACACACACATATATTACCAACTTGTTTCTGAGCTGTTACATTAAAGCCAAATCATATTCTCATAGCCACGAGGGGCAGAAACTTTTTACATACTTTCTGAAGAGGATCGTGCAGTACAATTACAACAGCAAGGGATTGGATGTAATGACCCTGAAGATTTCTTCCTGTTTCATGTTTCCAAGGCATGTAGAGAAGATCTTTGCAGAACCTTAACCAGCTGGGTCTTTAGGAGAAGTACCAAAAAATGTGAGAGTCAGTATACAGTCCCAAGAAGCAACCATACACATAGATATTTATTTTACTTAACATTCTAAGCAGAGGTTTGAGATTGAAGAAGGACAAGGCTGTGTTGCACTGTAGGTGATTTTGTTGCTCTTTAGAAGTATTTTATTCATAAGGTTTGGATTTAGTTCTGTTGGCAAACTGTAGGGTCACTTTTGTGTGTTGGACCCAGTGCTGAAAAAGCAGGATTTCAGATAGCAGTTTTAGTAAAATATAACCAGACTAAACCGATGAAATACAGAAACAGCTTCATCCTAAGCCTATCATGTGAGAATGGAGAATTTGACACAAAAGAGGGAGGAAGAGCAGCAGAAGGTGGCCTGCTGGGTCCCAAAGTGTTGGAGATATAAATAGCACAAAATCTGCACCTATCCCATGGGTTTTATTTCTCTTACAATTCAGTGAAACTAGCATTTTTTTGCCTTACTCTTAGATGGAGCAAAGCAGGAAGCAGTTTCCCTTTTATCTGTGAATAAACATGCAGCTTTTTCTAGCCTAAGCTCTTAAAATACGGTTATGGTTGTGTAATAGCTTCTGGCTTCCCAGCTCCTCCACTAGCCAGTGTGCTCTTTCAGGAAATCAAGTCATATCTTCCTTTGGAAAGATTAAAAAAAAAATCAACCTAACCTGCTGGGAAACAGCAAAAGACTCCAAGTGATTTCTTTTGGCTTTGTCAGCCGACCTTCCTCAGGACAGATAACAGGAGTCTGGAGTTTCAAACCCAAATACTTCAGCTTGAGCTGAAAATGCAGGTTGTGCTCACAGCCCTGCTGAAGCAATCAATAAGCTTCTGCCTCTTCCTGGGGGGCTTGTGGAGTGGTTTTCTGATTGTATTTCTTTTACTCAGAGCAGTCCCTTGACTGTTTATTATCTCTTTAGCCATTCTTGCAGACCTGCAGGCATAGTGTTTTTTAGGTGTATAAACAGCCGCTGCCAAAGGGGAATATTTTTCTATTCCGTTCTGCTCTTGCAGCTGCTGAAGCTAAACCTTCCTCTCCTGTTTTTTAGGGAAAAAAATAAAAAGGCAGAAATGAGGTTTGAGAGACAGCAGGTGAATCCCTTTAAGGAGGAGAAGGAAAATTTTGATGGCATTTTGTAGAAGTTCCCAATAGCCAAAGAGTTTATTCTGGAACGTGGCAGCTGCAGCAGATGTTTTGTGGGTATATCCAGTGCAAACCACAGTGGTGGTATCTTAGGACATCATGTGAGCGCTCTCCACTCTCTGCTTGGCCTAAGAAATGTGGATTTTTTTTTTCCCCCCTCCAAGAGACTCCCAAGGTTCATCATCTTACTGTAAAAGGGCTGGAGGACCAAATCTTTCAAATTGCTTGTCAGTGGTGGTCAGTGTAAAAGGGAATTGCTGAAATTCCTGCTGGCATTCCTGGTATTGGTGAAAAAACTAAATTACCAGTCATAAAGGGGAAGGGATCTTTGATTTTTCTCCCTGACTTACATGTTTTTTTCCACTTTTGTAGGTATCAGAAATACTGCTCACCAGGATGTAAGCAATCAAGTGCTGTGAGTAAGTAGCTTTTTCTTTCTGTTTTCCTTTACATAAGAAATACAAGCTTGCCCAAACAGAAGGAGAATCTTCTAATTTTTTTTTCTTTTAAAGACATCTCAAGAAATGTTTACAGCAAGTAAATCCAGTCTTTTGGAATCAGTTGACACTTCTTTGCAGCCCACAAAATACAGCCAGCATTGTATTACCACATAGGCTGAATAATTATCTCACTACTGATATAAACCACATGAATGCATTTAACTGAAAATATGGTCAGCAGAATGGACCATTAGCACCATCTGAAGCTCGTTTGTTGTTTCCAAGCTTTACCAGCTATGGAAAGACAGAATCTTGCTGAAGAGTTGAGGCATTCCTTGGGAAGTGAGCTTGCATCTTCTGCAAGGGAAAAAGAGCACAGATTGGCTGTGAGGTTGTTTTAGTGTGTATGGACAACACCCCAGCCTTGTCATTACAATAGGAAACTATGCAATATTTGGGTCTTCCCTGATGTGATAAAATAGCTTTGAAGGAAGTTTTATATCACAGGAGACACCTGCATACTTGCTTCAAAGCAGCTTAGCCAGGAGCTTCTATATATATGAAAAAAAAAAACAAAACAACTGAAAATGTGTTATTTGAAGAGCAGCTGCCCTTTTCCTATGCATTGCTAAAGGGTGTGGGCTGGGATTTCCCAGCAGCTGTGGCTAGTCTGCAGCTCTCCAGGTGAGCCAGCCAGTGCTGCTCTAAAGGAGCCTCAGGAAATGGTTGCAGCCTTCGGCTGTGTGTCTGACACACTGTGAGCTCCTGAGGTGGCTTCTCTGCTCTGGGGCTGGCTAACAGGGCTAAAATTTGGATGCTGTTGCTCTGGGCTTTGTTGCTTTCTGTAAGTAAACTTTATTAGCAGAGGGGTTAAATGAGGGGTGTTTTTGAGGTTTTTATAATCAGATTAACTCCTGTCCTGTTTTTACCCCATTCTGTAGTAATGGCAATCTGTGGTTACTTGGATATCAGCACACTTTAGTTTATATTTTCATTTCAGTAGCTTAAGCCTGTTTTCTGTTACAACAACAAAAATCTCTTTGGGCTAGAGCAGAATTAAACCCCAAAGTGAAATCAGTCTGAAAAAGAAATGGCTAGTTTTGTTAAAGGAGAAAAGATGAGTCCATCCATGTTTAGTAAAGGTGTGATAAAAATTCCCTAATAAACACCTAAAAAGCATTCAGAAACTGCTAAGCAAAAAAATTGAATCCTTCTTCCAGCCTTTTGTGAAGAATACTGGCAATGAGTACAGTTATTGGAGAAAAAAGGGATGTGAAACAATGATAGTGTTTTATATTGATCTCCCTCAGTAAGGTCCATGGTTCGTATTCTTCCTTTGAATCACAAATGTTTTCTCTAACTCCTTGGTGTTTAGACTGTCACACAAGACCTGCTAATTGAGCTGTGGGGGTTTTTTTTGTGAATTACTTAGAAAGCATTGCACAGGGTGGGCTCTGGCCTCTGGGTTTTTTTTTTTTTACAGCTGTGTTGGCTTCAGAGTGATGAATAGATACCAATTTAATTGATGAAAATTCAGTAGAAGTATGCCATGTGTATATATTGTCTCTCAAAGTATATCCACATCCTAGAAAAGCTCTTTGCTTATCTCAAAACAAAAAGTTGATTGTTTTTCTATTAGGTAGGCAGTATTGAAATCTGGGAAGCATTTTCTCAGGACATAATGAATCTGTGTCCTAATGCACCCCTGTAGTGGTTGGTTCCACAAAGGAGTTGAACATGGGGACCTGCTCCTGCTCTTCAGAGGAAGACTTGCTGGTCCCACATAGATGTCTGTGTCATTAAATCAAAGTAAAACAGCAGTGCCAATACGGGCATGTAATCCACAGGTGCCTCTGATACCTTATAGCTGTGTTAAGAGGATGAGAGAGAAAGCCAAGAGCAGCCTCCTTGGAAGCTCTCCAGGCAACTGGTGTGTGGTCTGAAATTACTGCAGCTAGATGCAGTCTCCTTTCATTACTGAGCTGTGACTGGAAGTTCCCATTTCCCTGTCTTCTCTTCTCTGGCTGTATGACAAGAACTGGGGAGCATGAGATGGTTGCAGTGGGACAGTGCTGCCTGAGAAACTTGCCTCCTGCTCAGGAAAACCCAGAGCTCCCAGAATTCAGCTCCTCTATGTCTACTCTCTCTGTCCTCTTGCAGCATTGCCCTGCAAAATGTTTCTGTTGTTCTATGAAAGAATTGATGCAGAGAAGGGAAAAAAAGGCTTTCTTGTTATTTCCCTTTCTCTGTTTGACTGTCAGCATCTGGAGGTGAAACTTGCCAGTGGCTGCTCCCAGGGGTGCCTGTGCCCTGTGAGGGGTGGCAATGTGGGTGTCAGCAGTGGCTTGGGGTGGCTCTGACTGGCATCCTCACAGAGGGGCCTAGATGAAGAGCTGGCACGTTGTGTTATGAGCTGTCAGGGAAGGTGTTGGTTTGGGCAGCTCCTGCCACTTCCAGTGGGCGTGGGGACATTTATGAGCAAGCTGTGAGTGGTGGTTGCTTCACCTGTTAGGCTTTAATTCACCATCCCTTTGTAAGGCAGCATCTGTGTCCTGCTATTTAAAAGCAATACCCACTTCATTATGGGCAGAACCCACCTGATGGAGTTTTGTTCTCTGGTGGGGAACCAAGCCCTGGGAGGATGCAGGGAGGGGTTCTTTCAGGTTCTATGTGCTTGGGGAGAAGCATCCTCAGCTGGCTGTGGTTGTGTGCTGCTGTCCCACCCCGGGATGCTCCGTGTCAGGACAGCTTGGTGAGGTGGCTGCAGATGACAGGATGCCCAGGGCAGGCTGCAGTGCTGGACTGCAAAGGCACAGCAGGTCTGGCAGGGGAGCAGGAAGGACAGAGGAGCTGTCCTTTGGGCAAAAGCAGCTTAGAAAAATTAATTCACATGTGTCAAGGTTTATGAATGTATAACTTTTAAAAAATATACTTGTTGCAGTAAACTGATCACTTATCAGATGAGATTTAGATGGATTTGGGGTTATTTTTACTTCTTGGAGCTTGAGCAGTGAATTTGCAAACGTTTTCTGCAGAGAAAATGACAACAGCATGTCTTAGGGATGCCAGAGGTACCTACAGAAAAGACTTTGCCAAATGCAACAGTGGTGCTGCCTCCTTGCCTTTACATGGGACAAGAGATTGGGCTCTAGCTGTGGCAGCCCCTGAAACTGTCACTTGTGCTTGTCACCAGCAAAGCCACCTCTTCAAACAGTGCACTCCTCACAAAATCAACACCCATTCTCCCAGTGCTCGATTGGACGACTGTCTGGAAATTTTGGACAGACTATTTTAATTTTAAAAGGGGGGAAAATAATATTATCACTGAAGGATCAAGATGTAGAGGAGAAGTTGGCTGGAGATCAGGAGAAGTTTAGTTAGGAGAAACAAGGCTTAGCCAAAAGCCTCCATTACAGTTCCAAGATGAGGAGTGAGAAGATTTCATTCATGTAACTGCAAATGTGCAGTTCATATCACAGCCCAGGGCAGGTGTTCCCAAGAGTTGGGTGCTGCCTGGGCTTTGGTAAGGACAGGATTGCTTCTGCCTGGCTCTCCAGCAGCCCCAGTGTGGTTGTCCTTTGGGATCTTGCTCCATTCTTATTTTTGATACTGTCTCTGCTTCCTTTTCTTTTCCATTAAGTATGATGTCACAAATGACATCAGTCCAGTAACTGTTTGTGGTTGTCATAGCCACAGTCTGTGACACCCAAACAAAGCAGCAGGAAACTGAAGCTGGCATACAGATGCTGTAATATTTATCACATTCCTTTTGGTTAATAACTGCGTGGTTAAGTATTTATTTTCCATTGGAAAAAAGGAAGGGAGCTTAAAAGCAAAAAATTAAGTCACTGAGGAGGAGGAAGGTGGTTTCCAACTCCATCTGACCAATGTAGCTGCACTTTTCCTTTCCAGTACTCTTCCCCTGAGGTAATACTGCTTTGGCCTCAACTGCTCAACTCCCTTCTGCAGTTGTTCCCATGACTTTGGACCATATGGTGATGCTCCTCCTGGACAAGGCAGTGGGAGACTCTAACACAAGCTGTGTCCCCAGGACAAAGCCTCACAGAGACTGGCAGCAGGGCCAGCAGCAGCCACGTGTCAGGCAGCTTTAACTGCTGGATGGCTGAGGCTGCCATTGTTGAGGTGCATGGATAGAGTATAGAAGATTTTTTTCATCTTTTGGGGCATTAGATGTGATGGGGGAGTGCTTGTTCGCTGTTCTTTGTTTAGTTTTGTTTCTTGAATCTGTAAAATAAGCTTTTCTGGTTGAGCAGCAGAGGTTGTTTGTCCCTGCAAGGTTTAATCACTCCTTCAGTTTTGCACAGTTGGCCTGATAGTAGGAAGGTGCTTGCTACAAAAAATAATTCCAGTAACGTAAAAAAAATTAAATAAGTTACAGAAATAGATGTGGTATGAGCACTGCATTTGCAAGACAAGCACTGGAGGCAGGTTGCTGGGGTTTGGTGGGAAGGAGCCACCTCAGCCCCTCACTGCTGCAGGCTGTGGGGAGTCTTGCCAGAACTTCTCCTTTCCCAGTGCCACCCCCTTTGTGCCCCCACAGGGATGTACTGACCCTGGGGACTCCAGCATGGCTTCCCCAAAATATCTGGGCATGTGACTCCTGGGCTGAGCCCAGGTGACTCCCCCTGCCTGCCTGTGCTGAGAGCAGGCAGCAAGCACACAGAGCAGTCTGGCTCTGGATTCAGGCATTTGGTGCCGTGGCTCCTGCTGGTGCTTGCAGGGAGGTGCTCATTATATAATAGCTGGTGGTTGATTAATATGCTGTGAGTCAGAAGTGCCAGGGTATTTTAGCTTTCTCTAGTTGCTATGGAAACATTATTTTAACAAATAGCTTTTTAATATTTAATTAAAACTCAGCTTTTGGCAAGCTGGAGTAAGAACTATTACAATTACTACTACAAAGGGTTAGCAGTGAAGTGTATTCCAGAGCCATGGTGTTGTTTTTTTTCGGTTGAGCC